CCCTTTCATAGTCATATTCCCTGTAAGCGTAATTAAATAAGATAAACTCTATGCATTTGAGACTTCAAGAACGTTTACCCAGAAGTGTACCATGTTCATTCAAATTTTATCATTGCACACTTGCTCATGTGAATGCACGTGCGTAATGAACATATCATATTGTCTACACAATCTAAATATTTTAATATGCTAAATATTAAAGTATTTAATCCAAAAGTATTTTAAAAAAAGATCATTCAAGTGTATTTTTGATTTTACCCATTTCACATGCACGCACATGCATACATGAGCATGGTGACCATACCTTCTTGTAGAAGTCCAGTACATCTATCTATGTTATAATCCCACCCCGTTTGGTTGAAAAGCAAGGGAGTTATAGCTGTTTAAAGTTTCAGCCAATCAGATTGCAGCGCACGTACACGTACATGTATGCATGTGCATGGTGACCATACCTACTTGTAGAAGTCCATTATATATATCTAATGTTCCAAATCCCATCCTGTTTGGTTGAAAACCAAGGGAGTTATAACTGTTTAAAGTTTCAGCCAATCAGATTGCAGCGCACGTAAACGCACGTGTGTGCCTGTGCATGGTGACCATACCCTCATGTAGAAGTCCATTACATATATCTTTGTTCCAAACCCCATCCTGTTTGGTTGAAAATCAAGGGAGTTATAGCTATTTAAAGTTTCAGCCAATCAGATTGCAGCGCACGTGCATGCACGTGTTTTCATGATAATTGCTTTTTATCATATTGTAGGATATCCTAATGCATGGGTATGTTCAAAATTTCAAAAGATTTTGTCAAAAAACAAGAAAGATATTGAGACTTTAGTTTCAGCCAATCAGAGCAAAGCGCACGTGCATGCACGTGAGATCTTGCTATTTTGACCATGACATCTTGTACATACTACTAATATATCCTTACATTATGAGTTTCAAAACATTTCGTCAAAAAATAGAAAAGTTACGGTTAAATCCATTATATATTGGTCATTTCACGTTTTGCGCGTGCGCGCTCTTGCAAGCACGTGCGCGCAAAATGACCTTGATTCCGCAAATCTACATAACATGTCTACTGACCCTAAAAACATTTCACCTAAATTGGATGTGTAGTTTACTAGATCATTCGCGGACAAAATTTTCCCGAGAAGAAAAATAATAATAATAATAATAATGATAATAAGAAACAGAGTAAAAACAATATGTTCCCCAACTTCGTTTGGGGAACATAATAAGAAGGTGCATGTATGAAAGCCTTGAATTAAAGAGTCTTTGCATAATTTTCCCTCTAACATCTGTTTTTGAATTCATTTTGCCCATTTTTTTTCTATATCCAAGAGCATGCTCCTAGTACGCCTTTTCAACCTTGCTAGACTATTGACCAATGACTTTTAACAGTGATATCAACAACTTTGTTTTAAATGCCACTTTGTAAATTTTATACTTGTTATATTGACTTTGTTAGTAAATATAATGCACCATTAGATCAACTTTGCTAATTGTTTCAAACCAATTTTTACAACATTGGTTCTGCTTTAAAATAGACCCATTTTGATTTATAAATTCAGGTGGCACTTTTTGAATGGTCAACAAGGGATGCTTAGGCATTTGACTATATTTTTAAAGTTTTTGGTAGGGCTGGGTATTGGCCCGAGATTTCGTATTGCGATACATTTGTATATTGCGATATTTTTAACTCTATTGCGATAAGTATTGCAATATTTTCAATGTAATAAAAATGGCATTTTCTTATATACATCTTATATATGTATATATATATATCGTAGGTCGAGAGTTCAACCCCGGGCTGGGGCGGAAGTGGGTATCCATGTAAAAGTGAATTTCTTTGTGCTTTCTATATAAATATTTCTTCACTTAGGGCAGTTATGTTAGTTTAAGAGTTGTTGTAAACTGTGCTTTATAAATAATAATTAATTTCATTACAACATGTATTGGTAACAATCCTCTGTTAAAACTAATGTCAAAATAACTGTATCTCACTTCTATTTTCAATGACCGTGTAGTGTAGGGCAGCGCCGCGAGAATTCCATCGGCATCGAAAGCAAGTTTTTTGACTTGCCTAGATAGCCGAGCGGTTTAGCGCGCTGTTCCTGCACTGCTAGGAGACAGATTCCGTAGGTCGAGAGTTCAACCCCGGGCTGGGGCAGAAGTGGGTATCCATGTAAAAGTGAATTTCTTTGGGCTTTCTATATAAATATTTCTTCACTTAGGGTAGTTATGTTAGTTTAAGAGTTGTTGTGAACTGTGCTTATATATATATATATATATATATATATATATATATATATATATATATATATATATATATATATATATATATATATATATATATATATATATATAGAGAGAGAGAGAGAGAGAGAGAGAGAGAGAGAGAGAATCCACCACACCCAAAACGGGGCGTTTCCTCGCAAAAAGCAAATTAATCCCGATATTAAAAAAAATCTTAAAGACAGCATTCACTCACCAACACACACGCACATAAAGTTATTCTCTATAACTGTTACGAAAAAAGAAAACTTTATATATTTATGTATCACCGAAAATTCAATTGAGAAATAATTAAATACAGATACGCCAAGATATCTAAACATGTTTTTATAAAGACTTTTATTCCTTTTATAAACATTCATGAATAAAAAAAAAAAATATACGTTACCTTGTTCAATGCAAGCGGAATTTAAAATTTTTACGTTTTTTAATGTCTTATTAAAAATGTTTATAGCTCTAAGTTTCCAATGTTTATACAATTCATTTTCTTCGCTCGTCTTGGTTATGGAATAGAAACCTAGTACACATGTAATTAGGAAAAAAAAGGATTTTCTCATGAATGATTTATATACCACATCATAAATAGAAACTTTCTTTGAATTTGTACCTCAAATTGAAAACGTCTTTTAATTTCTTACTTTTTTTAAAAAGTAAATCACAATTAAAATCGGTTACAATTATTTATGCACATTAACTTTTTTTAAATTATTTTATGGCACCTGTACCCTGTCTCACTTGTACACAGCATTTGTGTATTTAATTTCTTGCAAGAACCGCTACTATGATCTAATAAAAAATGTTTTATGTATAATATTGTATGATTTAATCAAAGAAATTACGAAATGTGCTGTTCTTGCCTTTTTTTAATTATATGTACACAAAACGGTACTTGACTTTTCTGTGCGAAATTTAAGTTCCATTAAAATTTTGACGAAATATATTTGAAACTGAAACTCAATGAATACTAGTATATTTTTACGCAAGAACGGCAGACCCGAAGGCGGTAATCTATTCATTATACTTCGTGACAATGGCTAATTAACTTGATACTTTATAAGTTTTTCACATTTCTATACGATTGTCTTATCCAATAATGAACTAATACGTCCAACACACGTTAATGCTTTTTGTATGAGGCGATGCTGTTAATTAAGCAATAATATACCGCGCTTATCTGACTCTCTTTCGCTTAAAATATTTAGGCAAACCACTTTCCCCTAGTTATAACTTCAGAACATACCAAACATATCAAAATAATAAAAAAAACATTTGACTCGTATCTTCGCTTGACAAACACAACTCGGTTGTTCAGCCAGAAAAAAAGATTTACCTTAAAAAAAAAAACTACTCAACGAAAAAAATAGGGGTGGGGGGGGGGGTTGCCAAAACTCGAATCCAATTTTGCCGTTGAGAAGGGTGGGGGGATAGGTTCAGTCTTCTTTCAGTATCAATTTTCTTAATCAAACATAATACACTGCCTTATTGTTTTGCCCTATAGTGCACTGATTTGACTATGCTGCAACAAAAAAATTGTATGTGTGTGTGGAGCTTGAGGGGGGGGGGGGGGGGGGGAGGGGACAGGACATTCAATGTACTCACCCCTTATGCACCCCCTCCCTTTGCTAGTGTAATGGCCAACATTATCTTTAAAAGCAGAAAAAAATGCGTTTGTAGTTTCCCTATAGTCATGTGAATTCAATAGTCAGTGATATATATTTCACGCTCATTAGAGTTTTTTAAAGATTTTAAACTTTTGGAAATTACACCCATAACCATTTGTCATATTCTTTTTGCTCTTTCAGGTTATGTATTCTCAAGAGATGTAGGCATATGTCTGATATTACCGGTAGTCAGAAATTCCTACGTCTTTTCTCTTAATTTACTTTTTTTTTCTTTTTGGTTTATAAATATCCTCATTCATAATATCACTGTCGTTGTAATATTGTTAATTTCCTAAACATTGGGTATAATGCTTTCTGTAAAAGTCTACAATAGCTGTATTTAATTTCTTTACCTATTGTAATATATAGGTTCCAGTGGAATTTCATTCACTCATTTCATAGGAACAGTTTCAGAAATGTTTGCAATTTTTTTGTGGCATCCCCTTTTCTCATGAAAGCAGTCAAGTAAATACTTAAAATGACATTAACGATGAACAATCCTGGTCATTTTTAATATTCATTAGAAAATATATATTGTATGTGTCAATATTCTTGTCAATATTCTTTTTAAGTATAATCTAATCTTTCCACTTGGAAATCCATATTTTCATTTTATTTTCATTTTATATACAGAAAAGGAGAACCAAAAGAGAATTGTATATACAATTTTTTTAATAGTAGGTAATAAATAAATTCGAAATATCCAATAACGTCTAAAGATTGAAACGAACATAATATTTTCTGCTACTTGTATCAATTTGTTTGAATTAAGGTCAATTTTATAATGTTATGTTTTATATATTTACCCATTTTTAAATAGATGTACTTGGGTATAATTTTATCCTTATTTCTTTGTAAGTTAGGGTAGATACTCTTCCGCACACAGGTAGCTTTAATTTATTCATTAAATAGCTCCTGAATTTTAAATACTTTTTTTGGACTTAATGCGTATCAAATATGACAACAAATACGACATTTGATCTTCTGGGGTCACTGTCTACTTTAATAAAACTTTTACTTCCCTGTTTTAATTTGTGAGGTTTACATGCACAGTCATGTACGTACTCGTTTTTATCCTAGGGATTATTATGTTTTCTTCTGCCTACGGTGAGAAAACTTATCTCTATATAGTTTTTCTTCATTTTCTTTTCTTATCGGGGCTTTGCTTTGATTTGTTGATTATTTGTTATTCAATGTTTTGATATTCTTATGAAAAAAATATTCAATTTTTGTGTGACCAATCAATTGTTTCTTAGAATGCAACGTGGGACGCAATGAAAATAAAATTAGAACAGTTAGTTGCTTCTGAACGAAAATACAAAATTTTCTTTTCTGCTGTTTTGTTCCTTCAAATCGCGTAAATAAAGAAAAGGAGCATTGTGTCCAATATGTTAGATAATGAGATACTGATAAACTTGTTTATATTTCATTAGGAATTTATCTTTCACAATGCGTATTTTCTATAATAGACTCGTGTTGCATGTTGAGTATATTTCGGAGGAAGTGCTTTATCTTTTGTGATAAATATAGCTTACTTGACCTGAAATGTTTTAAAAAATGAAATATCACATAGTAAGTTTTTTATAGGATGTTTTCTTTTCTTAAGGATATACAAATAATTCTAGGGGAAACCCGTTGGGTTATCACAAACATATTTTTCTTATTTCCAAAAGAAAGAGGTTCCATTTTAAGATGAGATATTTTTCCATTCATTATACATTTGAATGCAGATTTAAGCAGTAGCTTAAAATCATTCAAATGCTATAGTCGCCACGTGGCGTAGGGGTTATAGTGTCGAATCTAGATTTACGAAGGAAGGAGTTTAACCTATCCACTGTGCGACGTGGAGACAGGTCCCTCGGATAAGACCAAATAAACCAACGTCCCGTGTCTCAGTAGGTACTGGCACGAAAAATATCCCTCAATGTCCCCGAGTGCGGAGTATGGAACACATTTTTTAGTCTCTACCGGCAAGTGTTTGTTTCTCTATATGAGAGATAAAATCTCGAATGGGAATTTAAACAACAATCAAACATGCAAAACAATGCTCGATGAAATTCATACCATTCTTATTCAACTGTTGAAATTTATGCACTTCAACCCCCCCCCCACTAAAAAAAGGAATTATAATAAACGCCAACGCTACAAATTTACCACACAGTAAAAATTCCAGCTTTCGGGTATTCAAATACACTGTGTTTGACTGATATTCATACTTATACCAGTTTTTTTTCAGGTATGTATAATGTGTTTGAAAACTAATTCAAAACTTGCTATAAAACTGATTAACATGTATCATTTGTGGCATGGATGTTATTTTTATGAATCAGGATGAAGTAATTTCAATGCATTTATTTAAATGCCGTTTTTTAAATTGTTTTCTGAAAACGCCCTTTGAAAACGCCTTTTGAAAATTTTCAAGTAGGTGAAAACTGGATCATCAGTGAGGGAATAATTCAGTGAGCAAGTGTCATTGTGTTATTATTTAAGTAGTTTCTGATGAATTCGATTTTACACAAATTATCTTAAACATCCCCCCCCCTAAGAAACGTTAATTGTACTAAATAATGTATCTATCTTACATGTATTTATTTCAAATAAAGCTTTATCATACGCATGACTGATTGTATATTGTTTAAAGAATTTTTCACCCCAACATTTGCAGATGAATGGCTTCCAATTTAGACCTAATTCGGCACTCGGGGCCATTGGGCAGTGAGAGTTCCTTAGCGTGCCAACGCCTACCCTGACACGGGACCTACAATTTTAAGGTCATATCCGAAAGACCCGTGGCTTTCACTTCTAATGCCGAGCGCTTGGAGAAGGAACAGTCACTACCTTTGTTTACGTCTTAGGTTTGACGCGGCGCCACAAATGAGAATCGAGCCCGGGCCTCCCGATCCAAAGTGAACGCTCTACAACTAGGCTACCGTGACCGGTCTTAAATATGTGTATGCAACGTTAGACGCAAATTACCCCGACTTCATACGGACATAATTTATTTGTTTCCACATCATTTGTGCTTGTATCTATTTTTTAAAGAAAATCTGGCTCTTCGAAAACCAACTTGGCAGACTTCATCACATGATCCCGCTGTGTCGGGTCCGGAGAATGCAGTTGATGGTTCAAAAACAGATTTATCCTATAATGGACATACCTGTAGTGTATCAACTGATAGAAAAAGCAATGCTTCCTGGTGGGTTAACCTCACAGACATTGTTAGCATCAACAACATAGTGATCTACTACAGGACGGACAATAGAGCATGGGGTTCGTACATAAATTATATGTAATTAAAGACAGAGGAAGAAGTGTTTTCATAGGTCTTCTTTGAAGTTCGTCAAATAAGCAGCACAATTAACTGTTATTTTTTAAATTCTAATTGAAAATGTAATATGATATATTTATAAATCTCCATCGTTTTGCTTACACTTATTGGTACACACAAGTATACGCAATACGGAGGTATCAATTAAATATGCCTAGTTGAGTTCAGACACATAGTTTCTAAGTATTAGGATATTAAAAATATGAAAATTGTACAATTTCATACGTTCCTAATGTCACAAAGGGTCTAGGTGATATTAAATGTACGAGCATCATAAATAAAATCTTAGATGTTCCTATTACTTTAGGAAATGCAAGATTAACGGTGTCATAAAGGCTTTGAGTATACATAGCACTTTGAAAAAAATATTTTCTTTGTGGTAAATGGTAAAAAAAGAAGATGAGAGGATAAGGCGGACGATTGATTGATTGATTGAATACTGTTTAACGTCCCTCTCCAGAATATTTCACTGATATGGAGACGTCACCATTGCCGGTGAAGGGCTGCAAATTTTGGCCTATGCTCGGCACTTACGGCCTTTGAGCAGGGAGGATTCTTTATCGTTTCACACCGGCTGTGACACGGGGCCTCGGTTTATACGGTCTCATCCGAAAGAACGCCCCATTTAGTCGCCTTTTACGACAAGCAAGAGGGTACTGAGGACCTACTCTAACCCGGATTCCAAGGGGGCGATAAGGCGGACAAAGTGCCTATAGTTCGACAGATGAGAATTGACAAATTTAATCTCAAATTTTATGTGATAGTTCATTTAATATTAAAGTATACTTGATGAAAAATCTCTACAATTTACAAAAATCTCACAAAGACTGAAAAAATATTCATGAAAAAGCTTACACACACTAAAGAGAACAAAAACGATCACATACACAGCTACTAATGTGTTCGGGACCTTTCATTTTTCGGTGTTCTATAATATATAAAACCCGATGAGTTCAGAGTAGCTCTGGCAGTTGCTCTGGCGAGAGTCCGCGAGTTTACAGCGAGATAGGGTAAATTATTCACGGAAATGTGGCTAGGAAGTGACAAGCACGTGGAGACATGGTAAACAGAAAGGTTATGTTGCGTTTTAGTTTTCACCATCATATGAGAGCATTCTGTAGAAATCTACTTCAATTGATCTCTCTTTAATTCATTCAAGTTTAAAATATAAGTATTATCTAAGATACAACTTTCTGCTATTATGAATTAAAATTTCATTCTGACAAATGTTTTTGCATGGGAACCGGGACAATATTTTTTGGCGTTAAATTATTAAAAGTGACATCAATGGGACATTAGCTGACCAAGCTAATTTTTGCCGCACATTATAATAAGACATATTTGAATTGCCCCACCCTCCTTCTTTAGCAACCCCTTTCTGTTGAAAATCATGAAAGTCTTTCAGAGAGGTCTGGAAACACATTTGGCAAAGGACATGTTTTCCAAAGAATTGAACGGACTATAGCAATTTCCTGTTTACTGATAATTTATTTATTAAACCTGTTTTAACCTATAACATTTGAATAGGTAAATCACAATAACAATCGTAGGGGTATCATACTTTTACAATTTTTTTCAATATGAATGGCTCTTCGCTCCATTTTTTTTTTTGAAAGATAATCCTAAAATTTTACAATAGAATACATATTTTTTTGTTTACAAAAACATGGAGCGAAGACCCACTATATCCTAAAAGTACACTTTTATGACTTGACATTCGCATCTTACCGAGAAATACTTCAAGTCCATTAAATCGCCGGTCCTATCAAAAACATGATTTAAATGTTCATAATCATTATGAATGATGTTGCATAGTGGTTAACGCGTTAGTCTCAAAACATATGCTATTGATTCGTAGGGTTTTTATTGCTAGGGTTCGATTCCCACGAATACCATCTAATAATTTTATAAAAGAAAACAATACGAAAAATTTTTTTTTCTCCCTGATTTTTTCTCACATAATTTAAAAAAAACTCAATAATTAAAAGTTAATTTAAATACTCAATTCACATATTGCATATGATTTCTTAATATCTGACGCTATAGGCATTCTATCCACCTTATTCCCCCATCTTCTCAGGGATCATATTTAAAATGTTACTCAACCAAAGAACCTTCAATATCGAGCCCATGGCAACGGAACAGTTGCTATCCGTTCTTATCGACTATTGTTAGTCGCGGTCGACTAAACAAGGCCGAGTCTAAATATTTCTAGGGTTGGGATTTCGATAATTTTTCGTTATGAATTTTTACTGTTATATTTATTATTTTAAATTAAAAAAAAAAAATCGAAATCTTACCACCCTGATTTCTTTTTGGGACATCTCAAAATTTCAAATTTCACTATTGGACCCTTTTGTTGGAAAAGCGGCAAATTATCACATATTTTTTTTTTCCATTTTATTTCAAATTTTTCCTTAGATATTTCTTCTTCAGTCAAGTAGATGAAGGTTATTGTAAAGTCACCAAATTGTGAAATTTCAAAAACATTGCTCATGTAAATTGGTCTGGTCTTCATTACAAAATCTATTTTTTCGATGCCCAATACTTCTAACGTTGTCATATTGTGATATAAATACACATTGGTGCAGATAAATCTTTTTGGTAACAAATAGCAAATTGTCGTTTTGAACGAATTATCGCTAGTAACAATGCGTTACCAATAGGACACAATCTAATATAAAGGTCCGCTTCGGGTTCTTTCGGGGTCCGCTAGGGACATTGTCGGTGCCCCTAGGATATATCGTCGTCAATCGGTAAAAAATGTTGCTAACAACAATTTAAACCGAGACAACATTTTTTTCTCTGAATTATGAACAACAAGATGTGGTCTATATCATGACATTTTTTTCGCCATCAACAAAATATTTTCTGCATTTCCAAATGATCTTGCCTATATATTGATTTTTGAAAATGAAGAGAGAGAGAAGGAGAGAGTGGTACAGATACATAAAAAAGAGATCGAAATCGAGTTTCTATGCTTACTATGTATGTGAAATTGAATATTGATATTAAGTAAGTATTAATTGTGCACTACACATGCATATATGGGAGTTGTAAACCGAGTTTAAATATTTTGATTGAAATCCCAAATTTATATTTCTAGGACCATCAAATCAATATACGACCAGATTTATGGGATTTTATGTGTACATTTCAAACACAACAAAAAGAGAGGATGGTCACCTGTGTTTTCATGACAAAAACTATACTACTGCCACAATACCAGCCATTGCTAATATAACCTGTCCCTTCCATGGACAATACGTCATTTACTATAACGAGAGACCAGTGAAGGACAGTTATACAACTGGACACTCTTTGAATGCCATTATTGAACTTTGTGAGGTTGAGGTATACGGTATGTGGATCATATTGACTTCGAAGAAAAAAATGAAAAAGGGGTTTAAAATCATTTTTTTAACAAGAAAAATACAATTTTTGATTTATTACAATTCATTTATTTATTATAAGGCTGTACAAGTCTCAGACGTTACGGATCTGATTGTTCAAAGGCCTGTCCAAAAAACTGCAAGGAGTACTGTCACATAGAATCGGGAAATTGTCTACAGTGTTCCTCTGGTTACAGAGGGGAAAGATGTGAACAAGGTAGGAAGTCTACATTAGGCTTGTTCATTAGTGACAAACATGTTGATGAAACAAGAATATCAGATTTTGTTATCAATTCACAAGTCCTACAGTCGATACAACAATCTTGTGAACAAAAACAATTCATCGTTATGTCAATTGCTTACAGATGTTTCTCATACTAATTGTAAAAACAAACTTTTTGTTTAAAATTGAAAATAACATCATGAGTCATTTTTTTTAACGATTAAACAGGTTTTCCGGCATGAGTTTTAATTTTTATTCAAATTTTTCCTTTAATGGGATTTAAAGTGAAAAAAAATTGTAGAGAATAATAAGTATTGTTTCAGAGAGGCAAAATTTTGTACATCATTAAAGGTTTACAATTTCTTTATATTCTAAAAAATATTATTTACATTATTTTCAATGAAATAAGGCTAAAAAAAATGTAAACCAATCTAGGCATCCATTTTTTGTTTGTATCATCTGTCTTTAAAAATAACTTTACTGATAAAATCAAAATGTATATGGACGTACGACAAACGGGGTCCATACGAGTATATGTAATTTTAGATAATTTTTCGTTCATGGGAGTGCACACATTTACAAAAAATTGACTTATTGTGATTGAGCAATTGTTTAATTAAATAGCTTAGATCATACTTATTTTTGTGCCAATATCGTCATAAAAATAGAAATAACCATACGTCTTGGATATATTTCAATGTAAAGTTGAAAATAAATGTATTCCTTTCTTCTCCTCTTGTATAAGACGCTGAGAAAATTTGCTTCGTATGATTACAAAAATGAGTCACTTTAAAACAGGATGCAATTGATGCCCATAGTAATTCCAATAATTTTTGAAATATCTGGTCTCAAAAAACCACTTAGATATTGCGCAGGTACGATAAGGCTTCACAGAGAATATTGTAGTATACTCTGCATGCACTTCTCTGAACTACAAATGTATGACGTCATAATTGAAAATAACGTCAAGTCAGTGCTTACTGGAGCTGTAATAATGGGGAATGTCATAAATGTTACACCTTATTTCAATCTGCATGTAAAATTGCAGAATGCTAGTTTAAAATACACGTGTTTTTATATTTTTTTCAAAAATCTAATATATCCGAATAATTTAGATAACCTTGCTTTATTACTCTTGTTTAGCGTGTTCAAACTACGTACGAAAATATACGTGTGAAATTTACCCTTTTTTATACCCGTGGACAGGGGCATGATTCATAATATGTGTATATAAAAGAACCTGGCGCAGGTTGTTAATGAGGATTTATTTAATATCTTTTGTTGAAATATGTAAGAGGAATTTAACCTCTAATTGAATCCTGCTTGGGAAAAGTGTATCATGGCTTTGTTTTAAAACAGACGACGATATTCAGCGGAAATACCCTCAGATTTATCGGTAAGTTGAAGTTAATATGAAATAAATTGTTCCAAAGAAATAGCATAATTTTTCCGAAGCACATTCCGGTTTCTCAAGGATGCAACAAGTTTATTTATGTGACAAAAAGTTAATAATAATTGTATAAAAATCTGCGCCGAAGCGATTTATGTAAAAAGAAGAAATGACCGTCACGTGATCAACAAGGACATCTGACATCGTAACAAATATGTTTATATATAGGCTAGAGGATTCTCTGTATGAATTTGGCGTACTGAATTTCATAACTTAAAAATTAAATCATCTTTGCAATGCAGTGTTACGTTTTATATGCAATTTAAGGTCCGGGAAGCCTTAACAGTATTGCGTGTCAAGCTGAAAATCAAGACTTTTTTAATAACAACTTCAAAGTACTAAAGTCTGCAATAAAATGTTTTTTGAGGAATGTGAGATACCAAGTTTGAAATAATTATTCTGTTTCATTATCTAAAACTGGAATTTATTGAGATAGTTGTAAACCAACTTGTGGATATTGTTAGGATGATAAAATATGCTATTCAGCAAAAGGTACGTGACTTTCAGGGATTACTTTGTAACACAGATAGAAAAACTAATGGACACAATATGTCAGTCTTTAATTTTAATTTTATTTTAAAATATATGAAAATATGAAATGAATCGAAAAGTCATGCGCTTGTCACGAGGTTATAAAATTTTGATTTCTATTGTCGAATTGAATTTTTAAAAATATACAAGGACATCGAGCTGTAACCAAAATACGACCATTGAACTCTTCTATAGATTTAAACTACTTAATTCAGAATGTGCACCAGGATTCCATGGAGAAGATTGTCTTCTGACTTGTGGTAAATGTAAATCGTCCAATAAATGCAATCCAATAAACGGGTCGTGTGAACATGGTTGTATTGCCGGATATGGAGGATTGCTTTGCAATGACGGTAAAAAAAATAAATAACACATTGTCTCATTAAAACGGTTTAATGTAGATGAAAAAAATCAAATTCCTACTATATATATATAATTTATTAAAACGATTAGATTAATTGTCCAAATAAATGTTGTAAATCCATGAATAAAACATTGAAAAATAATATAATATACATCATGCATATTTTAGAGAAAAAAAAAATTACACCTGAAGTTTTTTTTTTCTACGAGGGTTGATCCAAAAGTAATGTCACAGTGTCCATATCTTTTATATTTGGCGTCATATTATCAAATAAATTATACCAAAAGATGCACAAATACAAATCTAATTAACATTAAAATTTTCATTTAATAATGTTTATTTGAATTTATTTTATAGATGTTTAGAATATAGAGCATAGGGGGTGTCGCCGCGTCACAACTGAACGTCAAGTTTTTAAGTGTATTTTTTGTTAGAATGAAAAATACAAACACATTAAAAAGATTCTAAAAAAGGACTTAATCTCTCATTTTTTTAAAGGACACAATTCAAGTCAATTTCTAGTCTTTTATTGAAAATTAAATGACGGCATTGGTATTTGTGATCATAAATATTGTTGTTTTACTCTGTTGAAGTGAACAAAGGGATTGTCGAAATTGGAAAAAAAAAAAAACGGCTCGACGAAGTGTAATGCATTTTTGCTTCAAAATATGGGAATCATCACTAGCGACAGTTGTGTTAATAAATAAGACTCACAGAATAAAGAATATAAATGAGAGACTTCGTAATAGATGATTTCAGCAATTTTGGTCGAATGGTGGGTCATTGAATGATCAGCAGAGGACAAGAAGACCGAAAGATAGGAGATCGGACGGAAACGTTAAATGGTGTCTGATGTTGTCAAAAACACAGAGGGATAGAGTAACATGTGAATTTTTAAGTTCGTATCTGCTACTGTTCAAAATATTTTGACAGAGGGCTTAATTATGAAAAGATTGAGTGTATAATGGTACCAAGAGTTCTTAAAGAAAGTGAAATTGGTGAAAGTCTTTGCGAATCACAAATATTTTGTGATGAAATAAAGGGAAAACGCTTGAAAGAATGACGGTGCGTATCCGTCATATGACGTTATATTTACGTGCGGCGACTACCATAAACACACATTGTTTAAAATCTGATATTTTGGAAAGTATACATCATATTCCTTTGAAATTTTCAGATCTGATTTGAAATTAATTAAGCTTTCATCATTTGTAATTTTGTTGTTGTACTTCGACTTATAGCAATTTTATCGAAGTTGTGACATTACTTTTGGATCAACCCTCGTACATATACCATTAGTCGTGGCACGAAACTGATATATTTTTTTATTTGCTTTTTATATTTTTCTAACTTGAAGAGAACATGGCATATAACCATCCGACCTGGCAAAGCTCAAGCTTTGAAACAAAAGTTGGTTCTTCAAAAGCCGTTGATGGACTGAAAGACGATTTTTCTCATGTTGGGTACCAATGCAGTATATCAGCTAATGGTCGTAGACAGGCAACATGGTTGGTGAACCTCTCTGGAATACGAAGCATACGTAACGTTATAATGTACTACAGAACGGGAAACATACTTTGGGGTAAATACAATTAATATTTATTACATGAATATTAAAAAAAAATAATAAAAACAATTATGAAGATATTTTTTGATGTCTCAAAAACTATAGTACTCGAGAGTACTTTCAGAAAATCTAATTTACTTTTACATATTGTATCAAAGTTTTTGCTAACCTTTTTAAAATCTTCAAAATGGAAAAATGTATCCGTTTATGTGTTTCACAGAAATAATTGAACAAAAAAAAATCACATTAACGATTGTAAACATTATAAATATATACACTAATATTCGTATTTGAAATGTCGTTTTCAATTATGATGCAAGTCTGCTATCTTGCAGATGA